CCAACAGAATTAAAATTTCCATATCAGCACTGAAAATACCCATTCTTTTTTCCCACCAACTGAGTAGCAGGAAGTAAACAGGCCTCAGGAAGTAGAAAGTTGTGCTTCCCCATGTTAATTACTGCCTAATGCTGGAAGAAAGGGAAAAAAATAATGCTGTAGACCACATTATCCCATTTCCCTGCCACAGGGACTTAAGAACTGTCTCTTGCTCTCCCGTTAGCAGGTTAAACTGTAAGTGCTCAGGCAGTGGCTGCGACATGTTTCATTTATCAGCGCTTCTGGACCGGTGGTCTCCAAGAGACCAAGAACGTCAGCCCTGACACAGAAACATATGTGGGTTCTGACATCTATTTTTTTAAATGCAAACTATTTTTCAAAAAAAACAGGGGCAGATGAGCAGCAGGAGGAGCCTGTTGCCACCTCGGCCCCATCTTCCCAGCGGCTCTGCTGTGTCCTTTGGGGAGGGGGCGGCTTACGTCCATCAGGGCGGCGTTGATGTAGTTGCTGCTCTCGCCGTCAATGGTGATGAGGAAGGGCAGGCAGCGGTCCGGGGGCAGGATGTCCATGCACCGGTTTTTCTCATGGTTCCGGGGCAAGAGGGCAATGCTGCAGTCTTCCACACGCAGCGTTGGTGTCACCATATTTAGGGTCTACGGGACAAAGGACGGAGGAAAGGCATTTGAGGAACAGAACGGCTTGAAGGCACATTTGTCTCATGTTCTGCATTTCAAAGATGCAAGTTTCCTGCACCTGACTGCAGGATGGTCCCCTCCGCCAGCCTTTCCTGCTCCCACTCCCCTAAACCCCACAGTTAGGTTTACACTTCTCTTTTCTCTCCTTGGATTTTGTCCACAGACAGTGCCCATCAGACACAGGGGCCAGAGGCAGAGGCCTAAGGGCCACTATGGGTCCCTAGGATTAAAAGCTGGACGGCTGGGGATTTGGGAGGGAAGAGGCTGGAAAAGAGCTTGGCCTAGAGTCAGGTACACTTAGGCAAAATGTGAATGTGAGAGGTGCAATGAAGAGTTAACACCCAGAAAGACTTCTTGATATATATTCCTCTGGTTTGACTGCACCATGGTTATGCCGTGAACTAACAGCCATAGTGCTGGGGACCCCTAGGTGTCTGCTTTCAAAGGTGGGGTAGAAATGGCTTGGTTAGACTAGTGGTTCTCAACCAGGTAACTGTGCCCCTCGGGGGACATTTGGCAATGTCTGCACACATTTTTGGTGTGGTGGTGGTGCTACAGGTATCTAGTGGCTACAGCCCAGGGATGCCACTGGACATCCTACAGGACAGCCCTGCAACAAAGAATTATCCAGCCCCAGATGTCAATGGTGCTAAGGGTGAGGAACCCTGTGTTGGCTCCAGGGTTCAAGAGGTGACTCTGAGATACTTCTGATGGTGCAAAGTCACAGCCAGTCGCCTCGCCCTTCAGCATGACTTACCCGGAATTCCTCCTTAATCTGGCTTGAGTTTGTCTGTGGGTCCAGTTTGTTCATGTCGTAATACAGAGACCTAACTTGGGAAGCAGGGACAGAGGTATCTCCACAAAGACAGGCTTCCAGGATTGCATCATGGATAAACACATACTGCTCCTGGAGAAGCGCATGGGACTAGTTAGTGACAGAGAAATCACGGCAACCCGAGAGGACTAGAGAGGAGGGAGACAGTACCGGTTTTAGCCCCACATCGGCAGAATAATGGAAACAACATATTCTTGATGGAGAAACAAAGTGTGAGGACCTGACTGCCAGACACTGGCTTTCTAGTGTCAGTAACCTCGGTCCTCACGTGGGGCAGCCGCAGTCATCTGATGGGCTGTGTGTGGCAGGATAAAGGGAGGAAGAGACGAACGGACTCAAAGCAGAATATTCTGCAGATCGACACGAACCAGACACTGAGGAAACCAGCACAGGCACTGGGGTGCTGTAAGATCTGCGGCTAAAATGCCTCTGTAATTCTAATCCCTCTGATTTGGAGCTCAATATTGCATATGAGGGACAAGCAGAATCTTATCTGTCTATAATGAAAAGAGGATTTGCTGGCCAAATTCGTAGTGCAAAGAAGGTCCAGGGAAACTGGACACCACTATGAACACAAGCAGTTCTGAACGCTTAGAACTACCTACTTCAAAACATTAATGCATGTGACAATTACAAAAGCTCTTACGAGCCCAGAGGAGAGCTCTCGCACAGACGCACGGACAAAAAGTCCCCAGTTTAAAAAGGACCTTCTCATTCTGATTGGCACTGACTTTCCCTACAATTAATTGAAGTTTTACCGTATTTACTGTTGAGCTTTAGTTACATGAGATGTTAAAAAAGTCTACTATTACTGTTAATTTAACTTCTATAAATAACCAGGACCTTTAATTCTCAAGAATAGTCCGTTCCTACTAAGCGACACCTCAAAAAAGAGGAAAAAAGAAGAAAATGGGTGTGGCAACATTAGATCGACTGCAAAGTACATTAATAAAGTAAATTATTATCATTTTTATCTTTAAAACATAGTAGACTCATTCTAAAGAAGAGAGACCATTTTAACACATTCTCAGTTCTTGTTATTTTTATGTTCGCTAAAAAATAGGATTAGGTTTCTGAGTGGCTTTTGTAAAAACTAATGCACAATCTAAACATAAGGGCTTCTTATTTATTCTTTATTCTACTCCATAAATCATTTTCCAGGTAGTGGGTATAATGCCTACTTAAAATGATCAAATATTAGTATAAATATGAATGTCCTAGGAGCAGGATGTACTATTTCTCAAAAATTTGAATTCCTGATACACCTTGAATGTCAATTTATAGAGTTACTAGTTGTGATAGAGTATTTCTATGAAATGGGCAAAGTCCCATGATGCCAGGCTGCTGGGGAATTTTTAAGGACAGGAAGCTACTGTTCTTCCCGGCACCCCTGGAGAAGAATAAAATGTACAGAGATTACCCTGAAGCCACTTGGCAAATACCTGGCTATTCTCAGGAGTGGTCTTGCTCTGGTTACCAGCCAGTATAAAAGATATAGCACAAGGAAATGGTATAGAAACCTTGAATGCTTAATGCAGAGACTCTACTGTGCCCCTGACACAGGAAAATGCAAATTTAGTCTGATGATGCTGATGCTGTTACATGCAGTTTGTCTGGCAGCAAACGCCTGGCCTGTGCTGTTTGTTTGTGAAAGGAAAAACAAAAAGGAGGAAGGGAGGGCGGGAGAAAACAGGGGCTGCCGGCCACATCACTGTTCTTCTGGGGCGCTCTGGAGAGGTCACTGCCGGGATTTCTTCTGCCCGTGGCTCTGGGGGGTGGGATCAGGACGGATGGGAGCCAGTACCTCTGTCTGCACCATGTTCACCCTCCGCGACCGCAGCTCCCGGACACAGTTGTAGATGTCCACCACCCCCTCCCTCTCGGCCATGTCCAGCATGATGTCTATGACGATGAAGCAGCCGGTCCTGCCCGCACCAGCACTGAGTGAAAACAGGGTGCTGTCAGTGGAGGGAAAAGGGCCACTGGGCTGCTGCTGCCTGTGTTTAATTTTTACTAAGATAAAATTCACATAACAAAATTAGCCATTTTAAAGTACACAGTTGAGGCATGTTGTACATTCACAACGTTGTGCAACCATCACCTCTAGTCCCGAGACATTTTCATCCCCCTGTACCCAAACCCACCACGCTTCCTCGAAGAGGTCTGGGCGCTGTGCTTACCTGCAGTGCACCACCAACGGGCCTGCACTGGGCGGGCTCTTGGATTTGACCTGCCGGACAAATCCCAGCAGGCCCGTGGCATGGTAGGGGACCCCATGATCCGGCCAGCCCGTGAAGTGAAACTGTCTGATCTCTCGGATTTCATGAATGCCTCTCTGTATTAGTTGGGCAACCACAACAAGAAGAAAACAAAGAAAAATAAATAAGCAAGAGCAACCAGGGCAATACAAAGTACCTCTAGGTAGTGAGTCTAGGGCCAGAGAACAGTGAATCCCAGAGAAGAAGGCCACTGTTAGATTTAATGCACAGTTTGGAAGGCTCACCACACTTAGGAAAATGTTTGTGGGTGTGGAAGGGAAGGTGATGTTTGGGGAAATGCTAATTTACATGCATAATTCCAGCAAATGACTGGATCCCTTGGGTTCTGTGAAACTCCTTTCTAAACAGTAGACTATGTTAAAAGTTTGTCTCACTTAGATTGCATGGTGTGCTGGTGAGGTGACAGTCCATAGAGGAAGAGGCACAGAACAGGGACCTGAAGGAATGAAAGGGTATCTGTGCGTTCAATACCAGCCACGGAAATGCAAGCCCCTTGTCCTGGCTCTGTTATACCCTGGGACCTCTCTGTTCCAGGTCCTTGAGCAGCTCACACACTGGCTCCCCTAGCTTTATGAATGGGGACTTGGGCAGGGTGGTTCCAGTTTGGTGGTAAAGTATCCCATAAACTGGAAAAGCTTACCGGCAATAACTATTTATTTATTTCGAAGGGGATAAAACAACATTTCTTTCTCCCATACATTTTTTTTTTGAAAACTTCTCTTTCTAGCTCTGCTAGATTTCAGCTCCAGCATCCTCAAGCCCTGAACTCCATCCATCATGAGATGAGCTTCAACTAGATAAGTCAGGGATCTCATTTTCACTTGCAACTCTGTTGTTAGATTTCTCTTTTCTATTTGGATAAATATTTAACCCATTCATTCAATCACTAACAATCTGCGTGACTACAATGCTCTAGGCATTACAGGAGGTGCTAGGGCTACAGAGAAATGAAGACACTGTCTCCTGTCCTCGAGTGGCTGTCACAGGTGCTCGTGGAAAGAGGCATGTAAGCAAATGTATACTGTGGGAACCAGGGGGTGTTTTTGCTGGAATTCTAAGGTAGATCAGTTAATTGAAGGGGGAGGGCTGCTTGCCCCTGAACTTAAGGGAAGACAGAAGGAAAGAGATTTTATGGTTGTCTTTGTTTTTTAATTTACTCTTGTTTTGAGAATAATTAAGTTGATTTATACCCATCAATTTTGTTTCTAACTATGAGCCTATGTATTAAGACTGTTCTAAAGCAAAAGCTGTTTTGAAAACAAAAGTTACTTCCAGAATCAAGGCTTCATGTCAACCTGGGATCAAACTGGACTTTCTCCCTTCTCTCATTCAACAACCATTTACTGGATACCATCTTTGCATTAGATCCTGGGTATGGTTTCATTATATCTTCAAAATAAACACCTTACCACATTTACCACCTAATCATTGTACACACAGATTTAGTGAGCAAAGAAGAAATTCAGAATTTTATGTG